GTGGTCCGGCTGTAAGAGAAACGCGAGGGAAAAGAAGAGATCAGGTAAACAGGGATAGACCGTGAGAGAGGGATCAAAGGAAGGAGTCAGTGAGATAAAGGGTTTAGATACAACCACACCGGAGAGAAGGAGGAGGAAAACGAGAGGCCAGAGGTTCATGAACCACCTTATCATCTATCTATACTATATCTATACTATTATAAAGTGAACACATAATATGGTGTCCTGAAGCTTGTTTTACTCTCCTCATGCCATGTGGCAGTGTTTTTTATTTTTTTTAAAAAAAGAGCTTGTTTTACTCTCCTCATGCCATGTGGCAGTGTTTTTTATTTTTTTTAAAAAAAGTTAAACAAAGAGATGGACAAGGCTTGAACCCATGACCATGGGTTTAAGTATGAAGACTCATACCACTTAAGCTAAGTACACATTATAATATTAATTTCATTATTATTTTCTTTTATTCCTATTTATTTAATTTGCACACACATCGTGTGTGCCCAACCGCTAGTATATTATATATGTGTGTGAGCATTTAGATTGGTTTCTTGAAGCTTCATCTCTTCTCATGCCAAGGGTCCAATGATTCATTATATATAAAAAAAAAAAGTTAGAGAAGAGAATTGGCCAAGACTTGAACTCAAGACCACAAATTTGATAAGAAAGATTCTTATCATCTGAGATTACAACAAATATATGTTAAATATGTTACTTATTTTTATTTATTTAACTTGCACACGCATCGCTTGTGCCAACCACTAGTATATATATATATATGGGAGCTGTTTAAGTATGCAACCCCCTGAAAGTTGCACACCATGTGCAACCTAATTATTAGCCCTCATTTTCCCCACTTCCCTCACTCTCTCTGGGGTGTTTTGGAAAGATGGTAAAAAGTTGGCCTTTGGCTTTTTACTAAGTTTTTTGGCTTTTTTGGAAAATGATTTGGGAAGTTGGTAAAAAGTTATTTTTGGCTTTTTTGGTTGATATTTATTTATGATGTCGCATCACAATAAAATAACCAAACTACCCCACCCAATTTAAAAAATTTACATGTTCACCCATGTATAACCCTAAATAATATAAAGGGTATAATTATAATTTCTCATGTAGCTTTTTTTCACCTTGCCAAATGGCTTCTCGCTAAAAAAAGCCGACTGTAGCTCCTTTTTTTCCAACTACAAACACAGCTTTTTACCAATGTTGCCAAAAGACCACTCAGTGTATGTTTTAAGAAAAAAATTCAAATCAAATTTTATCAGTTTTAATAATTAAAGTAATAAAAAAAATTATGAATTTATAAATATTTTGTGAATGTACCATTGATTTACAATTTTCCCATGAGTTAATGAACCTATTTTCTTTAATTTATTGGTTTACTTTTTTACTCAATTATTTGATTTTATGTATTGAATCATATATTATAATTTTTAATTACAACTTATATGGTGAAAATAATTTAAATAAGTATAAAAAAATTAATTGCCTTGAAACTAAAGAAAAATTTGTTTTAAATACTTGCCTATAAATTATGGGTCTTGTTAACAAGTGCCCTTAAGGTACAATAAAAGACAAAAAAAATTAAAAATACAAGACACTTTTTACTAAATTCAACACATTTTTACTGAAATTAATACTTTTTAATAGTTTTATAGATTTTTAAGATACTTTATACACACTTCCTAACATTAAACAATGCATAAGAGGAAAAATTATCATATAGGTCCACCTCATATCTTATGTGATATGCCCTTACAATTCTATTGCTTACATACACATTATTTTTTATTTTTTCTCCTATGTATTACATAAAACAATCAATTAAATTGAAAGACACGCAACCTAATTAGAATTCTTGAAAGACGAAATAATTCATCGCATTAGAAACACTTGTTAGTTTTTGCCATAAATTATTAATTTAAAATAAATCGCAGCAAACAAGTGCGTAACCTCAACCTACTAAATCAATGACACCTGGTGAAAAATTGCCTGCCCTAACCAAATTGATAATCTCCAAATTTGGTATAGTCAAATAAACTTGTGGTTGAGCATTTGAAGCTCCTAACTGCAATGACTCAAAAGATTGACTTCCAAAGATTGGTGTCAATATAAAATTTCAGGTTAATTATACTTAATATTTTTGTATTTTTATTAAAGTTTCACTTTAATTACTTAAATTTAAATCAAGATGCAATTTATCCTTCCGTCCATCCTATATCAATGAAGCTAATGAAAACTAAAAGTGGAGAAGCTAAAGTGAAATTTTGATACAAGTACAAACATTAAAGTGTGATTTTAAAATAAAACTGTAAGAATATTAATGAAGCGAGAAAAATGTCACATTTATTTAGATGATAAATTCTATCAACATTGTTAACGTCAAATCGATAAAATAATGATATTGCAATTTAACTTATAAGGAAGTAAATGAATTAAAATAAAATTTCAGTAGAAATATAGAGGTGTTAAGTGTAATTATTGGGAAAATTTTTAGGCTTCTACAAAGCTCCTAACATCTCCAATTATCTAACTGTTCAACAAAAGTTTTTAAATCAACTGTTTCTTTTTCCTTAATTTTATTTATTTTTCAAGTGATTATTTTTTATTATCCACAAATGAAGAAAATAAAATATTCTTCTTTATACCTCTAATTTGGAAAATTATTAGGGTGGGTTTTTTGGTATGAGACACACGGTGAGAAGCTTTTAAACTCAAAAAGTAAAAAAATTGTAAAATAATTTTTAAAAAAAAGTTAACAAATTCAATTTCATATTAAAAAGTTAAATAATATATATCAATCAATCACCCTTTTTTTTTACAACTATTTATTCAATCAAAAAAAATTATTCTAGATTCGTTAACTTTTTTCACTACATAAAAAATTAAAAAATTTATTGAAAAAACCAAAGTCCCAAATGGGCACTAAAAATTCGATCCTTGCGTAATACACAAAAGTCAATGTGCTAATCATACTTGTAATTACTTCCTCTAATTTGTGATAAGAAAATGTTACAAGTCCTAAATTTTCTACTAAATAAATCACTAAATGTCTTATATGAGTGTGGGATTTATAAAATTGCAGACTCCACACTCATGTAAGATATTTGGTTATTTATTTGGTGAAAAATCTGATATGTTTAGCATTACCCTTTGTGATAATAATAGTGTAAGCACATGCACGTCCTTGTTTGTGATGGCATTAATGGACTAAGTGAGGACAATTTCATTGGATTCTACAAAGTTGGTAAACATTTGGTATTAATTTAGGGCTTATTTGATTAGTAAGATCATAGTAGATAATTGAGATTATTAATGTTGAATTTTTGTTAGGTTTGGTTTGTATGCATATTTGTATACTAAATGATTAATGTTTATCTACTAAATATATATATATATTTGTATACACAAAAGTATTCAAATTTATTTTTGTATGCATTGATCATACTAAGTTTAAAAATTCAAACAGGTATTGGTTTGTATGCATTGATCATACTAAGTTTTTGATTTTTTCAAACAAGTGATTTGTGAAGTTGATACAAATTTATTTTTGACTTTTTTTATTAATATTTGTTTATGATGTCAAATCACAACAAAATAACCAAACTACCCACATTCAATTTAAAATATTTACAATTTCATCTATGTAACACATTTTGACTATTGAGGGGTAGAATTGTAATTTTACTAGTGACTGGAAACTAATTTTTCAAATATCATTAAATATAAAAAAGTCAACTTTTAACTTTTGCTATAAATGCACAACCGTAACTAAAAGCCAAATACGAAAGAGGCTTTTTTTAATGCCTTTTATCTTTTCAATTTAATTTGTTTTGTTTTGTTTTGTTTTTCAAAGATAATCCTATATTCCAATTATTAAAAAGAGGTAAATTACATTTACCTTTTAAAATTTGAAAAACATACAGCAAACTTTATAATTTTGATATATAAATGCATTGACATATTTTTAATAAAGTTAAAGAGGTAAAAATTAATACAAATGGTATGAATTGACAAATATATATAAAGTAAAATATATTTTTTAATATAAAAGAGATGTAAATGTTATTTTTATATGACTAATAAATTTCTGATATAAATAATTAAATATTATATGAATTAAAAACTTTAAGTCAATATATTATAATTTTTTTAAATTTATTATATTTTTTCTAAAGGATTGAGTAATTTCAAATTTTAAGGAACTTATGTCTCGTTTGTCAATTATATATTTTAGTTAAAAAATTAAAAAATAATTATAAATTATCACATCACTCTCTTTATTTTTTTACGTATTTTTTATAAAAAATTAAAAAATTACTAAAATAACATGTTACGAGTCTTAAGTATAACAACAATACTAGGAATACTTACAATTTTTCTAACACACTTGTAAATTTTGATAAAATTAATCATTGTTAGTGTCTTAATAAGATTGTTAGAATTCCTAATATTTTTCGAAGTGTAATTCAGTGTGTTTGGTTTGAGTTTTTTGGATTAAGTTTTTTGAAAATTGAGTTTTTTGATTTTTGTTTTTTGTTTTTAGTGAATATTTTTAAAATTTTAAACATTTTTTTTTACTTTTTTAAATGCACCTTATTTAGATGTATCTAAAAAGTAAAAAATTTATAAAAAAAAATTTTAAAAAATTAATAAATATATACAAATATAAAAAAATATACTGAATTTTTGTATTTTTTTTTATTTTTGATATTTAGTGAATTTTTAAAAGATTTTTTTTATAATTTTTTTACTTTTTAAGTATATTTATATTAGATGTGTCTAAAAAGTAAAAAAATTACTTAAAATATTAAAAAAGTCAGTAAAAACAAAAAAAAATATAAAAATAAAATTTTCTAAAAAATATTTTTTAAAAAATAGAACCAATCGATCAAGCTGAATTATATTTCCTAATCAAACCGTGCTTGCACTTTCTAGTCAGTTGGTAAAGAAGTCAATAGACTCGTCTAGAAACTTCGCATATAGTTAAAAATTATGGGAGCCAAGTAGCCGGCTATTTCTTTCCACTTCGAGCCTCTTCTCTCATCTCATCATCTCTCTCCTTAAAACCCTAAACCCTACCAAAACCCCCAAACGAAACCCACAACCTCCCTTAAATCCCTCTCACGTTTCTTCGATTGTTTCGACCAATTGATTGGATTTCCACTCTCTAATGGCGACCGCCGTGTTGCTCAGATCTCTTCGTCGCCGCGATCTCCCCTCCGCTTCTCTCTCTGCCTACAAATCCGTAAGTACTCATTTTTCAACACCGCCTTGTTCTCCATTCATTTGATTTATTCATTGTTGATATCAACTACCTTTTCTCATCTGGGTTTTGATTTTTAACACTATTTTTGTTTCCTGATAGAATAAAATTCATTTTGTGTGTGTGTGTGTGATTCCTTTTTGGGGTTCAATTTCAGTTTTAATTCTGGGTTTCTGTTCTCGTAGATTTTTTCATTTTCTGGCCCTAGTAATATATGAGTTTTACTTAGCTGCACCTTTTACTCCATGGGTAGTATGCATAATGTTGGGATTGTTTGTTCCTTAAACTACAAATTGATTTTTCATGATTTAATGGGGTTGAATTGTTTTAACTCTTGAATTGTGGTGGCATGTGATTCTAATTTTCCAGTCTTCTTATGGTGGTGATTTTAGTAATTATATCAACACGATGCCTTCTCCAAGGTAATGGGGAGTGGTGGTGCATATTTAGTGAAATTTAGCGAGTCCTGTCTGTCACATGCGTGTCTTGTTTAATCACTAAGTTCTTCTGTGCTTCAACCAACTTTGATAGCTAGTGTTTCCAATAATGATGTGTTCCAGGCTTTCTATAATTTGATTCCTCTGTATAAAGAATTTTGTACAGCAGATTTAGATTCCACAAGCGTTCATTTTTTTATTGTAGTATTTAGTTGTCGATCATATACCTGTATATACGATACAAAAAAATTATATGGACTTTTTGATGCTCAGAGCATTTATAATGGATAATTGGTTAGTCTTTAAGATTTATAGTTGGTCCAATTTTAATGTACGGAGCCACATGACTGAATGTTATAATTTTTAATGTCTTTTCAGTTGACTGGAAATGCCAAGTCGTCATGGGCTTTCTCACCTATGGGTCACAAATGGGCAAGTTTGGCCAGACCATTTAGGTATTATCAGATAATACTTCTCTCTCTTCAAGTGTGCTCGTTATCTTCTTTTTGCTTCTGACAAATTTTCCTCCTGAAACAGTTCAAAGCCTGCTGGAAATGATGTTATTGGCATTGACTTGGGTACCACAAACTCATGTGTTTCTGTAATGGAGGGCAAGGTTAGATATATTTTGGTCTCCAATGTTCATATTTGTTTTGATGTTATGTTACAATGCTGATCAACCCTCGTCATTATTTGTAGACTCCCAAAGTGATTGAAAATGCTGAGGGATCTCGGACTACACCATCAGTGGTTGCCTTTAACCAAAAGGGAGAGCTTCTCGTCGGTACCCCTGCCAAACGTCAAGCTGTGACCAACCCAACAAATACGATTTTTGGGACTAAGCGTCTCATTGGTAGACGTTTTGATGACCCCCAGACACAGAAAGAAATGAAGATGGTTCCATACAAGATAGTCAGGGCTCCCAATGGAGATGCTTGGGTTGAAGCTAATGGGCAGCAATACTCTCCAAGCCAAATTGGAGCGTTCATTCTGACCAAGATGAAAGAAACTGCAGATTCATATCTTGGAAAGACTGTCACAAAAGCTGTGATCACTGTCCCAGCTTATTTCAATGATGCTCAGAGACAAGCAACAAAGGATGCTGGACGAATTGCTGGTCTCGATGTGCAGAGAATCATTAATGAGCCTACTGCTGCTGCACTTTCCTATGGTTTGAACAATAAGGAGGGTCTTGTAGCAGTTTTTGACCTTGGTGGTGGAACCTTTGATGTCTCCATTTTGGAGATATCTAATGGTGTTTTTGAGGTATGCAGATCACTTTTTATTTAAGCCGCTGTTCTTCAATCTTCACTCAGATGTACCCTCAATTAACTTTCTCACATGCAGGTGAAAGCAACAAATGGGGACACATTCTTGGGAGGAGAGGACTTTGACAATGCTCTGCTGGAGTTTTTAGTGAGCGAGTTCAAAAGAACTGAGGCTATTGATCTGTCAAAAGACAGGCTTGCTCTCCAGAGGCTTCGGGAAGCTGCTGAGAAGGCTAAGATCGAACTGTCATCAACATCTCAGACTGAGATCAATCTGCCATTCATAACAGCTGATGCCTCTGGTGCAAAGCACTTGAATATCACATTGACCAGATCAAAATTTGAGACTTTGGTGAACCACTTAATTGAGAGGACTAGAAGCCCATGCAAGAACTGTTTGAAGGATGCTGGCATAACAACCAAGGAGGTGGACGAGGTTCTTCTTGTAGGAGGAATGACTCGCGTTCCAAAAGTGCAAGAAGTGGTAGCGGAAATATTTGGCAAGAGCCCAAGCAAAGGGGTAAACCCCGATGAGGCAGTTGCAATGGGAGCAGCGATTCAAGGTGGTATTCTTCGTGGAGATGTTAAGGAGTTGCTTCTCCTTGATGTCACTCCTCTCTCCCTTGGTATCGAGACACTTGGTGGTATCTTCACTAGGTTGATCAATAGGAATACAACCATTCCAACAAAGAAAAGCCAGGTGACTCTTCATTCCTCAAACTTCAACTTTATTTCAAGATTGGTTTCTATTATTAGGAGTGGTATGTTGTTTGAAGACTTCATTCTTTATATATACAGTGATTGTTGCACGAGGCATTACAGCTGTGATTTTTTCATTATAATGGAAATGAACCAGGGTATTTTCTTATAAACAAAATTAGTTAATTGAATAAGAGTAATTATAGAAATAGAATACTAAGGCCCGTTTGGGAACAGGCTAATTTAGTAACTTTTTGGCTATTTGGTTAAAATATGAGCTACAAAAAACTAGTATGTTTGGGATGATTTTTTGGTTTTTTACGAAAAGATGTGCAAAAAGTAGAGAGAAAAGAGAATCTTTGAGTTTTTGGTATGAGTTGTTGGCTTTTTGGCTTTTTTAGTAACTTTTTGACTTTTTTAGCTAAACCGGCCCTTCCCAAACGAGGCCTAAGCCTTCATTTGGCAATGAATTTTTTAGTTGACTTTTTGGTTTTTTTGATTTTTTTAGCTTGAGATTTTTTTGTTCGTTTGGTATTTTTGGTTGGCTTTTTTGGCTTTTTTGCTTTGGAATAGTGATTTTTTTTTTTTTTTTTGTCTTTTTTGATTTTTGGCTTTTTAATGATTTTTTTGACTTTTTTTTTTGTCCTTTTGTGATTATTGAGCCCAAAAGGAAAACCAAACGCCACCAAGGAGTAAAATTAGCAATGTTTGTAGGTAGGTACTGTTTTTCTGATTGGACTTGTTGTATCAGGTGTTCTCAACAGCAGCGGACAACCAAACTCAGGTGGGTATTAAAGTATTGCAAGGAGAGCGTGAAATGGCATCTGACAATAAAATGCTGGGTGAGTTTGAGCTTGTAGGCATCCCACCGGCTCCTAGAGGTCTGCCTCAGATAGAAGTCACTTTTGATATTGATGCCAACGGAATTGTCACGGTTTCCGCAAAGGACAAGACCACTGGGAAAGAACAGCAGATCACCATTCGTTCTTCTGGAGGTCTCTCAGAAGATGAGATTGAGAAGATGGTCAAGGAAGCTGAGATGCATGCTCAGAGGGATCAAGAAAGAAAAACACTCATCGACCTCAAAAACAATGCAGACACCACTATTTACAGTATTGAAAAGAGTTTGAATGAGTATAGGGACAAAATTCCGAGTGAGGTTGTGTCGGAGATCGAGTCTGCTGTTGCAGATTTGAGGAATGCAATGGGGAAAGATAACATTGACGAGATTAAAGCCAAGCTTGATGCTGCAAACAAGGCTGTTTCGAAGATCGGACAACACATGTCAGGAGGTTCTGGCGGTGGTTCATCTGGAGGTTCACAGGGTGGTGACCAGGCTCCTGAGGCAGATTACGAGGAGGTAAAGAAGTAGGTGGAGAAGCTGACAATGAGAGATAAAACTTGTCTTTTGTTTTCATTGTGTAATGCTCTTTCTTCTTTAGCGGCTTTTTATCTAAAACTTGGAGCCTGGGTGTACTGCATGAAGTTCCAAATTTATGTGATAATGTTGATGCACATTTGAAACTCTTTTGCGGAAGAAATTTTCCTGCAGAAATCTGATGTAGTGACAGACTTTGGTGATCACCACCTTGTTGGTAAGTGTAGTTTAGTGAATATTTTTGTAGAAGAAATTTTCTTGCTGAAATCTGATGTATAGCTATTACTTTTGGGGATCATTGGTTTGTTATGGTGTCTTTTGAAATCTTCATTGTAAGGTATCTTTTGATGTAGCTATTGCTGCTCTATTGGGTCCTATGAGTTGAGAGCTTCTGTCTTGCCTGCTTTTACACATCCAGCTTCATAGTGAATATTTTCGGACGGTTCTCCATTTTGGAGAATTGGTCAGCATAATAGAGTATATTACATGTATCGGTGGGCAAAAATTTTTTTGAAAGTATAATCTATTAATAAATTTTGTAAAATTTTATTGGAAAATTAACATAACTGGATAATTTTTAAAAAAGAAAAAAGAAAAAAAAAACAAATCAATGGGAAGTTTTTTACATATTAATAATTAAATTTGTAATTTTTTTTTTTATGAATGTGTATTTTTTTTCTTGACTTTATTGATATGTAATAACTCCAATTTTATTCATTCCTTTCTGTGTATAAATTTCTATAATCTTGACAAAACTACAATGGGACACATTGGGTATGAGAGCTCAACCTCTCAAGAGAAAGAGAGACACGAAATAATCTCCTTTGGTGATAGCTTTTGATGTGAAATATGAAATTTTTCTTTGGTACAAAGTAATTCTTGGATATTATATTCTGAAATTAATCTTAACCGTTAGATTTTGATGAATAAAAAGTATAAGCATGTACAAAATCGGATAAGAAAATGAAGTGATCTTGCAGTTTAACCGACCACAACGTGATCTTGTCTGCCTTTAAATTTGATTGTGTTTATTATACCGGCCTTTTTGGAGTTCCACTATTTTAATGGCTTTTAGATTTTATTTATGAGAGAGATGAAAAAATATATTTTTTTGGAATATTTTTTTTGTTCTATGAAAAAATGTTTTGTGAATTTATTTTTATTTTTATTTTTTTTTCAGCTGTATGATTTTTTAAGCCAAAATGTAAAGTTTCTAAATGGGACCACAATGTGTATATTTAGGAGTTGTTTGAAGTGTTTTAAATAAGTGTATTTTTTAATTTTTTGGACTAAAAAATTGAAGAAAAAAATATGGTTGTTTGGATTAACTTTTTGACTTTTTACAAAAAAATGTGTATTAAAAAATTGTATAAATTAATGTGTAGGAGAAGATAAGAACAGTAGGCAGTAGGCTGTATCGTCTGATGATAAGAAATGGTTGCCTACTTTTTGGACATTGCATTGGACGGTGTTGTTCGGTTCGTAGAGGCCATCACGGGTCCCGTTTTGATAATCTGAACTGATCAATATGTAGAACTCGTCGAGTGCTATATGCCTGTAAAAAATCATGTTGATCAGATATCGATAGCTATCTGATCGGATTAGTTTTTTTCAACCGTTAACTATAACACCATCTATTTTTTTATACAAAACTGATTTAATCATGTAGTTAGCGATATCCAATCAACGTGATTTTTTACAAAAATATAGTGTCCGACGAGTTCTACATATTGAACGGTTCAGATTATCAAAACGGGACCCGTGATAGGCCCCCACGGGCAGAACAACACTGTGTGCACCCTACTTGTGCAATTTTTCCAAATCATTTCAGCCACTCAACAACAGTCTGTGGGACGGTTCAGACTGTGTTGTAATAATTTATGTATAATTTTATTTATTTTTTTGTGAATAGTAATAATTTTTTAACTTTTTTTTTGGTTTTTTAGATTTTTTTAGGTATCTCAAACTAGCCCTTACTTGCAACTAAAAATTATCACAATTAGTGATGAGAGCTGTAGTTTGGTTTAGGATAAATTATAAATACACCCTCTGAGAGTTATTTAAAATACAGATTGTCCTCTGTAATTTAAAAAATTGTAAATATTCTCTTATTATAATTTTTTATTTAACAAAATTAACTAAAAAAATAAAATTCATAATTGTTCTCCTATACAATAATAAAATTACTTAAATTATTAATTGAAACATATTTTTAACATCATTAAAAGCTGTTAATTGACTTAATGATTTATTAATAAAAAATACAATTTGTTATAAAATTAGAAATCTCAAAGGGTGGAATGTAATTTTTAAAATTACAAGAGACAATTTATATTTTAATCAAATCTCAAAGAATGTATTTATAATTTATCCTTTAGTTTAACTGATGTAGCTTATAAGATAAAAGAGAAATTAAATTTTAGTGTAATTTTTAAAAGTCATTATAGATTTATGAGAAAGTTTTTAATTTTAATTATTAATATTTATAAAATTTATCATTGATTTGTAATTATGTTTTCAAAACACCTAATTTGATATTTTGCCTAGGATAAAAATTGAAGTAAGTTCAACATAATTAATTATTGAAAAATTTGTGACATGATGTGTGTTTAGATTATCACTAAAACAAATAAATTAAAAATTGATAATCTAAACACAAAAATTAAAAACATTATTTTTCTAACTTTATTTTAATCTTATAAAATTATAAGTAAAAATAGTACTACACAATAAAAAAAAAAAAAAAAAAAAGAGAAGAAGAAAAAAAAGAGAGGGAAATAACAAATTAGTTATACTTTTGAAAAATAGTTACAGATTTATGATAAATTTTATACATTTTAATAAGAAATTTTTATTAATAAATCTCATTTAGAAGTATTTTAAAACTCCCATTTAATAATTAAAGTCGCAAGTTTTTATTTATTTATTATAAATTTGTAATTATCTTGCAAAAGTAACTACTGATTTGTAAATTTTGCAAAAAAAAAATAATAATAATGAGCGATGGCCTGGAAGTAAATGTATTTACCTTGCAGGGGTTAAACTATGGCAATATATACAGAACTCAAAATTCTTCCTTCCTCCTGTGAAAGCCCGGCCCGAAACGAATAACATCAACCCTTCTCATAAACCCTAGACATTCGAACCACAGGAAACAATCTCAATCCTCATAAACCCTAATCTCTCTCTCTCTCTCTCTCTCTCTCTCTCCAAGGTTAGTTCTTTCTTCATCTTCTTCAGTTTTATTTTGACAAAACAGCTGTTTGGTTGCTGAGAAATTGCCTGGAAAGGAGAGAAAACAAAAATATTCCTTTTTTATTTGCCTGTATTTTGATTCGGAAACAATGAAACTACTTTAACAGGCTCATGTCAAGTAATCTATGTTGTTTCAGGCTCAGTTTAATTGACTTGGTCTGAAATATGGAGAATTTTTAGATTAGGATTATTTTTCTTCTTTTTCCTAGTTGTTCTCTGGTAAATTTCTCTGGAACCAAACAGAGCATAAATAGATTTATCTGTCTTGTTCCACATTTGAGGTCCATTTTATCATTTTGTTGGTTAGGCTTGATTATGTTACTTGTTTTGTTTCTTACACCTCAGTGCTTAATGTAGTATGATTTTGTTAGTTAGGCTTGAATATGCTTATCATTTTGTTAAATTTTCTTATTTATCATTGATTTTATTTGTTTTAAGCAGCAAGTTTCTTGTACAATTTTTTTTGGTTGGCATAAATGGGTAGTAAGAAAAGAGGGTCTGATGATGCTGTGGAGGAAGCAGAAAATCAGTTGGATATAATCAGTGATAAAGTTGTTTCTGAGCCATTGAAAAAGAAAATGAAAAAGGAGAAGAAGAAAAAAGTTGCAGACAGTTCTGCTTCCCCATCTTCGACTGATGTTGTAAAGGAAGCAAAAAATCAGGTAGATATAATCAATGATAAAATTGTTTCAGAGCGTTTGAAAAAGAAAATGAAAAAGGATAAGAAGAAACAGGTTGCAGATGGGTCTGCCTCCCCATCTTCAACTATGCAATCTATCAAGCCAATGGAGAGAAAGAAGAAAAGGAAAGCATTAGACAAAGAGAAACGTCATGCTCCTTCTGATAATGTGGAACCAAAGCCCAAACAGTTGGATATGAAGTTTGATGAGACTCGGGTGCCTATGCCGACTCTGGCAAGTAGTGGTCTGCCTGAGTTCCATGTTAGTGTCTTTAAGGACCTTGCATCAGCTGATAGTACAGTAAGAGAAGCAGCAGTTGAGGCATTGGTAACAGAGTTGCAGGAAGTCCAAAGCATGTATGATAAGCTTGAGAGGAAGGACGTTGCTGAGGGTGGATTGCAGTTGGAAGCAGAAAAGGATGATGGATTGAATAACTGTGCGCCTTCTTTGAGATATGCTGTTCGGAGACTTATACGTGGTGTTTCTTCATCAAGAGAGGTATGTTCATTTGATTTGGTTTATAATCTTGCATACCATCCTTGCATTTAAGGAATGCATTTATCTTTTGCTGCTTTTTCCTTCCTTTCTTTATCTTTGCTGCATTTATTATTATTATTATTATTATTATTATTATTTTATTTTTATTATTATTATTATTTTTTTTTTGGGTCCTCTTTTTTGACTTTTCTGTTCAGCATACCCATATTTGTGCCATTTGCAAACTGGAACACTTATCTTTACAATTAGGTTCTTTCACTCTGCTTAACATAAGCTTACTTATTAAGTTCATATGTGAAAATTTTGGTTGGATTTGGGTATATCTCAAATAAAAATGTCAATGGATTAGGGTACTGGAAGGTGCCAATTGTGACTTGATTTCAACTCATTAGTAGTTTGATATGTCTATGATTGTACTTTTGCAGCTTTGCTCCATGAGATACAGTGAGACATTTTTCGATATCTTTCATCATTATAGGATTTGTAGATGGAATAAGTTAAATTCAGCACATGCAATTGAATGTTTCTTGTCAATGGATTTCAAAATGGTACAATGGCATACATTGATTTGTTTTATTTTGCTTCAATGGTTTAACTTGATTTTAACATATACACATGATTTCTTTGTCATAGATAACTTGAGTTAACATATTTAAGAGTGAGTAATTTCTTTTCTATTCTCATTACATATATCCTCTTTTAGTTGTAGAACCTGCTACTAGACTCATAAATGTGAAATGCTTTAGATGGGCCATGTATTGCTAGTGTTTTATCATATACGAGTATTTGGAGTTAATCATTGTTCGTTGAAGACAGTGGAGCTTTCAATTCTAGAGTGTTGCATGTCTTTGTGGATAATATTTTTGTTGTTGGAATATGCTCACCCGTCTCTAATTGCAACTTTGTTCGCTGACTCCTGGCCTGTGTGGTTTACTATTACTTTACAGTGTGCAAGACAAGGCTTTGCATTGGGTTTGACTGTTTTAATTGGTGCAATTCCGAGCATCAAAGTTGATGCATTGCTGAAACTGATAGTTGATCTGTTGGAGGTCTCTTCTTCAATGAAGGGTCAGGTGGGAAAGAGTCCTTTATGTTTAAAGTAGACTTTGGTGAGGTAGACATTTTTTTAAGGGAAAATTTTAATTTGCTCGTTATTGTGTTGTAGGAAGTGAGGGATTGTCTTTTGGGTCGCTTGTTTGCTTATGGATCCATTGCACGATCAGGAAGGCTAACTGAAGAGTGGGTCTCGGATGAAAGCTCTCCTTGCATCAAAGAATTTACTAGTTCTCTTATTTCCCTTGCAGCCAAGAAGCGGTACTTGCAAGAGCCTGCTGTCTCAATTATTTTGAACTTGTCTGAGAAGGTACTTTAGCCTAATAAATGGGTTAATCAACTCTTGTGGTTGTTACACGGTCTTGGGTAGAATTCAACCCTAAAAGCTATTTAGGGTGCCCTCACACTTATTTATTGCACATTACTTTCATACCAATCTGATGTGGGCTTCACCCCTCTCACATGCAACCTCCTCACTAGCAGCACTTGCCGCAAACTTGTATAGTTAGCTCTCCAAATCAGCGTGGGTGAGGAGGACAATGTTAGACAGTTGTAGATGTTATTTTATAATTTTGACGGACCTGAGAAACTAGCTATAATATTATTACCACTTTTGGTTTCATATTATTTCGGTTTCTTGTTCCACTGTTGCTCATATACGGTGTTGCCTTGGACAAATTGCTTGCTCTCATGGGGAGGACATTTGCAATTGTCATCAACATCATATCCACTACCTCAAAACATACCCTTTTGCGATTGTCCGCCCCATTCTTTTGTGTTGCCCATAACTTGTACCATAGCATTCTATTGTTGTAGTCATGGGTCCTTTTGTTTTCGTTTTTTGTGTTTTTTTTTGTGTTTTTGTGTTTTTTTTTTTGCATTTTGTTCTTTTTTGTCTTGTTTTGTTGTGCTCCCCACCTTTTCTCCCCAAACCGAAGTGAACTTCTTTGTTGTCCTCAACTAGTGGTGCTTTCAGCTTGTCTTGAAGGTTTTGTAATGGGTATGCATGCGGTTTACTTGTCCCAAAATAAAAAATAAAAAATGATGTGTGCATATGTATTAACGGGACCGTAGTCCTTGATTTTTGGTTAAATTGGCAGTATGTGCTCTTTATGCTTATTAATATGGTGTTGCTTTCAGATTTATTTCTTGTCATTGTTCTACCTGTAGAGTTTTCATCAGCATTGTCAAGATAAAAATCTTAATTTCATTTTTCTGCCTCAAAATAAAATATATAAAATAAAAAAAAAAAATTTGGGTTGGTTCAGGCAGACTGTTTGCCTCTGCAGTCCATCTATGTGAGCTGTATATTAAAATCTATGAGTAGTAGCATCATGAAGGGTAGAGTGAATAGAAACAGTTGGCTGCTAGAGTGAATAGCAACAATTGTACACCTATTTATTTACCTTTTATTTATTTTAACAATCAATTGGCTGGGTAGAGTGTGAATAGCAACAGTTGTATTCTTTTAGCTTCCATCAAGATGTAGATTTATTGGAGGTCTTTCTTTCTCTGAGGTGTGCATATTTGCTTTTGCTGTATATATTTCTCTTGAAGTGCACCTATTGATTCTTTATGCCCTAGTTATCTATACTTTCCTTTTCCTTGATTGTTGGAGGCACTATAGTCATTGGTTGGTTTTGAATTTTTCCTGCTTTAGTCTTTCTAATTTTTTGTTCATTTTTCTTTCCTTTCCTTGTTATAGCTTGTCTAATCTGATGCGGGTGCTGACAATGGTTTCCTTTAGATTCCATTTTGTATTGGATTATAGTAAACATAATGATGCTTATGGTATTGCAGTTACCAGTTAAAGCCTTGCTGAATCATGTACTTGAAGCTCCAGGCCTTCAGGAGTGGTTTGAAGGAGCCATTGAAGTTGGAAATCCCGATGCATTGGTTCTAGCTCTTAAAATGCGAGAAAAAATTTCTGTTGGCAGCAAAGTGTTTAGCAAACTTCTGCCTGATCCATATAGCCCTAGTGGGTTGTTTTCGGCTGACCATTTGTCCTCCCTCTCTAATTGCTTAATGGTGATTTTCAGATTCATATTACTGCAATAAGTATTTATATAAGGAGGAAGAAATAGTTTTAATCTTTTTGGTAATCTTGCAGGAATCCACTTTCTGTCAGCCTCGAGTTCATACTGTCTGGCCTGTCTTGGTAAATATTCTTTTAGCTGATTTGGTTTTGCAAGATGTAGATTCAACATCAGGTTTAACTTCCATCAAGAAGCACAAAAAGAATCGCAAGTGTAGCTCATCGGAAGAAGAGATTGAGAAAAACCTTCGATGTTTTTGTGAAGTTATTGTTGAAGGATGCCTTCTTTTGTCCTCTCATGACCGTAAACACTTGGCCTTTGATGTCCTGCATCTTCTCCTACCAAGGCTGCCTGCGTCTTGCATCCCAGTTGTTCTGTCTTACAAACTTGTTCAGTGCCTGATGGATATACTTTCTACCAAGGACTCTTGGCTGTACAAAGTTGCACAATATTTTCTAAAAGAACTGTCAGACTGGGTGAAGAATGATGATATTAGAAGAGTGTCGGTTATTATGGCCCTGCAGAAGCACAGCAATGGGAAATTTGACTGCATAACTCGGACGAAAACAGTTAAAGATTTGATGGCAGAGTTTAAAACTGAATCTGGCTGCATGCTGTTTATTCAGAATTTAGTGACCCTGTTTCTGGATGAAGGCCATGTTTCAGAGGAACCTTCAGATCAGAGTCAGACAACAGATGACAATTCAGAGATAGGTTCAATAGAGGATAAGGATTCTGTTGGGACAATGGGAAGTTCTGATTTTTTGAAAAGTTGGGTTATAGATTCCCTCCCTAGTGTTTTAAAACATTTGCAGCTAGATACTGAAGCGAAGTTTCGGGTGCAAAAAGAAATTTTGAAGATTTTAGCTGTTCAGGGTATATTTTCTTCATCTCTTGGCACTGAAGTGACTTCTTTTGAATTAGAAGAGAAGTTTAGATGGCCAAAAGCAGCCACCTCAAGTGCTCTTTGCAGGATGTGCATTGAGCAGATTCAGTTGTTGCTGGCAAATGCTCAGAAAGGAGAGGGGTCTCATTTGGTGGCAAGTAGCCTTGAGACAAATGATCTTGGATCTTATTTCATGCGGTTCCTTACTACAATGTGCAACATTCCGTCAGTGTCACTCTTTCGAGCCTTGAGCAATGAGGATGAAAAAGCATTCAAAAAACTGCAGGAAATGGAAACTCAGCTGTCAAGAGAGGTACTTAATCCTTCTTTTTTTTTCTTTTTCTTCTTGTGATATGTGCCACTACCAGGCAATGCTGCTCATGGGCCCTTCTATATGGACTTTACTTTCATTTTCCCTCTCTTTTGTTGTATTTGCTTGCCAAAGAAGTAAAGGAAGGAAGAAAAGAAAAGAAAAGGAGTGGTTTTGGGGGGTGGGGAGGGTGTCTAAAGCTTGGTACTCTTGACATAAAAAGTGCTTATTTTGCCTTATGATGAGTTGCAAGTAAAGTATGACGTTCAGTCTTTCATAAAATGTGTGGTAGAAAGTTTTTAAATTGTCTAGTATGAAGTTATTGGTCTGTAATTGTTGTTTACTGTTCAGTTTTATGATGTTCTAAGTAGGCCATCTTATGTTTGACCTGTTGCCAGGATTTAAGACGTGGTACATGGAAACCTGTTCTTCTGTGTCAAGTTTCAAGCAGCTATTTGTTAGTCCATATCTGTTTAAGTGAAAAGATATGCTGTATTAAGATTTAAAATCATGTGCAGGAAAGGAACTGTGGGCTCAGTGCAGATGCAAATAAGTTGCATGCCCTGAGGTACTTGCTTATCCAGTTGGTGCTGCAGGTTCTCCTTCGACCAGGGGAATTTTCAGAAGCTGCCTCTGAACTCATTATTTGTTGTAAAAAAGCCTTTTCCTGTCCTGATCTTCTCGACTCCTCTGGAGATGATGAAACAGACAGTGATGGAACTCCTGTGTTGATGGATGTCCTTGTGGATACACTTCTATCTTTGCTGCCACAATCATCTGCTCCTATGCGTTCTTCTATTGAGCAGGTGAATCCCAGAACAACAATTTTGATTCCCGACACTGTTTGTATGAGCTCAAGAATTTGGATGAGACTCATTCCTATCTAAAAATTATATAGGATTTTTAAGGGCATTATGTGGTTTGTTGTGTTTCTTGTATATAGTTCATTATTTTTTTTCCCCCATCATTTTTTCACAGGTTTTTAAGTATTTTTGCAATGATGTTACGGATGATGGACTGCTTCGGATGTTGCGGGTCATAAAGAAAGATTTGAAACCGGCTAGACATCATGAAACAGACAGCGATGATGATGAGGATGATGAAGATCTTCTTGGTATTGAAGAAGATGAGGAATCTGATGAAGCTGAGACGGGTGAAACTGCTGAGAGTGATGAGCAGACAGATGATTCTGAAGTAGTAGGTGGACTTGAGGCAGTTGACAAAGCACATCCCGAAGCTTCTGATGATTCTGATGGGGGAATGGATGATGATGCAATGTTCCGCATGGATACTTATCTTGCAAAAATTTTGAAAGAGCGTAAGAACCAGGCTGGGGGTGAAACTGCTCAATCCCAGCTCGTGCTCTTCAAACTTCGCGTTCTCTCATTGTTGGAGATTTACCTACATGAGAATCCAGGCAAGTCTGTTTTCGACAAAGTTCAAGTTGTGTTTTAACTCTTTGGGAAATCAGTTTACTGGGCATAAATATATGTTGGCTAACAGTGAGATGTTATGTGCTATATTTTCATTTATAACATCATACACATCTATTCTTTTATTAAAAGCACACAGCGCAGAAGAAGAGGCCTCTTCACACTTTCATCATTTTCTAAGAATGCCCCTCAAATTTAACTGTAAATTTCACATCTAGAAACTGCTCTAAACCATTTTTAAACTGCTGTAAATTGTTTTAAATTCGACCCATCTTCATGCATTAAACCTCATCCAGAAACTCTAAACCATGTTTAAACTGCTGTAAATCGTTTTCAGATTCAACCCATCTTCTTCATGTATTAAACTGCTCAAAATCTTAACCACCCCCCCCCCCCCCAGTTGTGACATCATAACCTTTACCTAGCGTGATGGCAAGTGCTATCCGTGCCCAATATTGTGGCTGGTTCGAGTCACGGAAATTAACCTAATCTTGTGGCTGGTTCAAGTCACAGAAAGCAACCTCTCCACAAAATGGTGGGTAAGGCTGCGTATCAACTACCTCTCGCTGACCCTGTTGTGAGCGAGAGAGTCTTGTGTACTGGGTATAACCTTTCATATACATTTATTAAAATCTTTGGAAACCACAGTAAGGCTGATCTGAATGAAATTGTATGGCGGCTGTTCATATAGTAGTGTAGAGATTGTGTATAGAACTTAGCAGTGCTGAAAACAACATTATTGCCAAAACATTGTTAGGATTACATATAAATATATTTACACACATAATAATAATAATGGTTTTGAAATTTGTTACTTTAGCCTGAATTCCTACTCTTCTCATTCTGTTGAACTTGAATCCAAGAATCAAAATTTTGTTTTGGTATGTTGTTTTAGTTAGTTTGGAAACGGAAATGTTTTTCGGAAATGTTTCAAAAATGTTATGGAATAAATGACTTAATCATATACTTGTTTTATCATCTCTTTTCTAGTTTCTTAGATTCTCTAACAAATTTAAGATTTTCCTTTATTCACAAATCATTTATTTTGAAAAAAGGAATCAAATAGAAACGATCATGGTTGAATATTTCTGATGTGTCAAAACAACTCGATGTTTCATAATGTTCCGGTGGAACTATTGGAATTTCGATATTCCACTAATTATTCATTTTTCCAAGAAACAAAAATGTTCCGACCATTTTGATGGAAACTAATTGAATTTTTGTTCCTGTGTTGAATCACAGTCAATTATTTTTTAGATTTATTTATCAAAATTAATTTTAAGATGCAGTTAATCTTCCTAGTCTCGTAACAAATTCAATCATGGGCTACCTACTCTCAACTATTGAATTTTTTTTTTTTTGCAGCTTAATTGCTATTTTATAAATTATAACTATTTAGTTACTGAAGGAGACTCTTATTGATATTTGTTTTTTCTCATGATTTTTTGGTTATCTAGAAAATAAGGATACTCAACTAAACAAGCTTTGTCCTAATTACTTGGGTTTGGCTACATGGATCTATTTTTCCCAGTTTGATCTATATCTATTAACAGGTCATATCCTCAGTTAAGTCTAAAAGCAAACATAATATGTTGCATATATATAGCAAACAGAATTAAATATCATTGTAGGGTTTTTATTTATTTATTAAAACAGACCAGCAGAAATTTACCTAGTTTGGTGCTTTCATTTTTTTTTTTTTTTTGTAATTTATTTTATTAGGTATTTAATATATTACAGCGTGGTTTGACTTTAATTGACCCAACGGCTGAACCCAACCTTGATCTGTCTATTTTCCTGTTTGTGAAAGGGTCTGGATTTTGAAGCACTTATCTTTAGCATTTCATGGATGAATAATTTTTCAACTTCTGTTTTGCTACACAGGAAAACCCCAGGTATTGAAGGTCTACTCTAACTTGGTCCAGGCATTTGTTAATCCACACACCACAGAAGGTAGTGAGCAACTCGGCCAGCGCATATGGAGCATTCTGCAAAAGAAAATTTTTAAAGCAAAGGACTATCCAAGAGGAGAAGCTGTGCAAATATCTACGCTTGAATCTCTTTTGGAAAAGAACCTAAAATTGGCTTCAAAACCATTCAAGAAAAAGAAGTCTGTTGTCAATCCATCCAAGAAGAAGCAGTCGGCCTCCTGGAATCGACACAAGATGATAACATCCCTCGCACAAAATTCAACATTTTGGATTCTGAAGATCATTGATGGAAGAAAGTTTCCTGAATCCGAACTTCAGCAGGCTTTTGATATCTTCCAAGGTGCTTTGCAGGCCTATTTTGATAGTAAAAAGTCTCAAATGAAGTCTGAGTTTTTGAAAGAAATATTCAGAAGACGACCATGGGTTGGGCATCACCTCTTTGAATTTCTTTTGGAGAAATGTTGCGGTTCCAAATCAGAGTTTCGGCGAGTTGAAGCACTCGACTTTGTGATTGAAATATTGAAGTCACTGGTCTCTGTAAGCACCGATGAAAGTGGACAGGCTGCATCAAGGAAAATTTTGGACAATCATCTTCCAAAACTGTGTCAACTGGTAAAGGAATTGGTAACAAATATGCCAGAAAAGCAGTCTAGACGGGCTGAAGTGCGCAAGTTTTGCAGCAGGGTCTTCCAGATTATAACAAGCCTTAATCTTTCTGTGTCATTTCTTAAAGCTTTGGGATCTGATGCTCAGACTGCCTGCGAATCTCAACTTGGTGAGTTGTTTCTTGCTTTGAAGAAGCATGAACAGTAGAGAACGAAGATTACATTAGATGGAAAGCTTTGCTGAAGAGTTTTGAGGTTATACTTATTTGAATGATTGGAAATACTATACAATTATGGGTGATAGTGCTGTAACAAAAAGGTCATCAAGATAACAATAAGGGTTTTTGATTTTCATTTCAAACAGAATTGTTACTTGCAGTATACTTCAGGGCATGCACTCCTGCGGCTGCTCAGATCCAGCACTTGTAACCTTCGAAGATTCAGTTTTGTCTGTAAGATTTTCCTCTGTGAAATTATTTAGTCTCCTTGCATTGGATGTTGAGGAAGAGTTTGATGATAGTTGGTGCATTATATATATTTTGTTATGTTTATTTTTCTTGGGACATGAATTGTTAACAATTAACCATCATATAGCTTATTGACTTTTCCAATCCGTAAAATTCAATCGATGAGTGTTGTATATTGCAGTTTTCTTATGAAAGGTAAACTGATTGTTGATGGTCAAAATTTTGTTCTCTCTGTACATTTTTGGTCTGGACATTAGGTTTAGGAATTGTTTGTATGAATAATATGATAAATATAAATTCTCTCACTAGATTGGGTCCTCACATGAAATTGAGCATAATGGCTAAGAATTTTCTGTCTTTAAATCTTAATGCCCTCTGCTTCAAAACAGAGAACTATTAGATCATGCAAGCATCTTGCCAGAATTTTGAAACATAATCTAAATGCTTTCCGGAATGACCCAGTCCAGTTGTGTTATTAAACTGATTTGGGAAAATATTTCAACCAAGGACAATGACAATTAAACAAGATAGCAACAAACCACCGAAAACTTGCTCTGCTTTTTTATGAGGGTAGATTTGTTTATGTAACTCCATATATGAAGAGTAGCTCTATTTACACAACTATTCGTCTCAGTACACACTATTTCTCAATACATCGAACATATTTTTGATTTTTTTTTCCTCAGTTCACACTAACCCATAAACTACTGCTGCCCATTCCCATGTTTAATTATCCGGGAAAATTAAAGAGGTCCAAGTTCCTGTTTTTTTTGCCAATAAGAAAAAGTAGTCAGGGAGAGTTCCACTGTCAATTCTGTTAGTCGTTTAGATTGGGTCAACGAATTAAGAAACCATCTCTATCAATTATAAACCTACCCAAAAAAGATACCCATTGATATAATAATGATCCATACGAAGAGTGATTTGACCATTGTCAACCCAATATCACTTGCAGGCCCATTGGTCCTCTATGTATTCAACACGCTTTTTTTTTCTTTTTTTTTTTTCTGCAATTAATGTTTTTGGTTAGTTTCATAAAATTTCCTCATAAACCTTACACTTGTGATGATTATGCAAAAGGATGAAGATCCTTTGGGTTATCTTGTATAGATTTGATGAGTATACATACATATACACAAACAAACAAAGAGGACAACATCAAAAACAAAAAAAAGTAAAGTAGAGAGATTCTGCTGATGGGTCTTGGTGGTCGCATCTCATCAGTTAACACCTCACTTCGAGCAAATCATTCAATGCAAAACTCAGATTGATTGGATTGGACAATAATAGAGAATATCCCAAATCCAAAAAGGAAATGTCAATAGAGAGAGTTGTGAAAGAGCCAGAGAGTCCACTGAAAAGCATGACACCATCTCATGAAAATAAAGAAAAAAAACAAAAGACAGATGAGAGCTGTTTCTGTAAAATGCCACCCAAAATCTTCAACATGCTCTGAAGAATCTTTCTTCTTTGTTTTCAATCTTATGCCAATGAATCCCAAAAACAGATCATCACGCAGAACGGGGAGAGAAGCCAGGTTGAGGGAATCAAATCAAGCATACTACTAGTCTGTGTTGTTGACGCTGATGGGGCTGCATCAGCCAGCAAGACAGCACATTTGTTCAGCTCAATCGCGCCATTAATATTCGATGCACAATCAGGAATGGCCAGTGCTTACAGAAATTTATATCTCATCAGTCACCACCAAACATTAAATACACCATCCTATGGAAAGAATTTTGGACAATTTACCATAACTCCCCTCCTCAAGTCTTTGACAATTCCTTGGATTTTAGGCCCCGTGACTGCGCGTCATCTGCATCAGAATCACTCCCTGAAGAGCTCCCCGAATCAGAATCTGCAAACAACCCACCGAGTAGTAAGCATTTTTACCAACAATTTCACTGTCACAGCCAAGGAACAAATTAAAGGAATGTAGAAAATACCACTTGACGAAGATGAATCACTGCCTGAGCTGCTGGAACTGCTAGAACTGCTGGAGGCATGGCCATTATCACGACCACCATCATCCTTCTCAATCTCCACAGGGGGGAAGCTGCTCATTGGCATCTCATCACCGATGTCCACTTCTTCCTCTCCACCCTCTCCTTTCTTCAGCTTCTTCACAGTGTCAGTTTTTTCACTCACAGAAAGCTGAAATTAACAAGAATTTATTAGCAAGACCGCATATAAAGAATAAATTTTTTTAAAGCAATTTGACTAGTTTTTACCGCGTTGTCCTCGCCTGAGGCTGTGGCTGCAGCTGAATTGTTGTTCCCTATGAGTGCTTGCCTCTTATTCTTGCTGACCATCTTCTTCCAATTAGTCACAAATCGATCAAGCTCCCAAAGGGTCTCCAGATCAATTGCCTCAATATCTAGCTCAATTTCATCCTCCTCTTGAGGCCAATGTGAATTCCTCTTCTTCATAATCTGCACTAACTGTGGCATCTTTTCCTGGGGCAAACTCTGCAACCCAACACTCAATCTATGCTTCTCCTCCATGCTCATTTGCCTCTTATTAGGATCCTTCGCCTTCGGCTTTGGTTGCTTCCCCGGGTTCGCTCTCACCACTGCCGGCTTCACAGGAGGTCCTTGCACCGGTGATGGAGTCGGCACAGTTGGCGATTGCAACGATTGCGGGTTTGATGATGATGTTGGGTTTGTGGCACTCACGGGCACTTGCATCTTCTCTTGTTTCTGTGCAGTTGGCATTGAATTTGATTTCGATTTTTTGGTGGCAATCTCAGGCCTTTGCACCTTGTCATGCTTCCGTGAAGTCTGCATTGAATTTGATTTCAATTTTTTTGTCCTCTCAGGGGTTGGAATGCGACTCCATGAGCTCCCCTGTAATTCATCACTTAGAACAACACGTTGCTTTTGATCACCCTCATACTTCTCCTGAATTGGCCTATACAACTCCTCGAAACGAACAAGAAGCTGCTCAGCCATCTTATGCACCTCATCGCCCTTCGGATTATACAACATCGCATTGTTAAAGGTTAATCTCACATCCGCTGCAAAATCTTCGGGTAAAGCGTACAGATTTTTTGCAAAATTCGATTTCACCGTCCCAAGATCCATAGGACGCTTGATTATCTGATGATAATCATGAAGCCCCATAGCAACAGCATCAACAGGCTTGTTAAAAATCCAACTGAGCTTGTGCTTCAACAACTTGGTCAACACCTGCCTGCACATCTTCATCGAATCACCAATTTCACTCGCATTTCCATTTCCAATTCCAATTCCATTATCCGACGTTGTTTCGCACAATCGCTTCGGATCTTTTCCGGAAACGAACGGAATCGGCCTCTTGTTTCCCGACAGCTTTTTGAATTTTCCCGGAAATTGGCGGCCGATTTTCCCAGAATCGATGCGATCGTTCAATTTCCAGATCTGTTCTCGTTCAGCGACCAACCGTTTCTTGAGCTCGATCAGCTCGCTTCTCGTGTACGAACCGATGTTGAAGGTAACGTATTCGCCTCGATTGAAATTCGAATCGCTGTTCCATTCCATCGATCTCTGGTTGAACGAGTACGCATCTTCAGGCGCCGTAACCTTGCCTCCTCCAAGTGCGTGTAATTTCTTCTTCTTGGGGATCGATTTAGGGTTAGGGTTAGGGTTAGGGTTTAGATTATTAGAGTAAAGGGATTGGCCCCAACTCGATTCATTACGGCCAGATAACACTGTGGACGCCATTGATGGGCGGAATTACACCGGCGGAGTCGAATTTCCGGCGAAACAACTCGAAAATCATGAATTAGATCGCCGATATATGAGAGCTCCGATCACCGCATATAAGAATATTTATGTATATATTGTATGTATATATATATATGTATATTAGCCCTAAAAGAGGAGATTTTAGGGTTTGGGATTGGAGTGAGGAAGGAAAGGGGGCAAGGATTGGTTCTTAAAGGCGAAGCTATCTGCCCGTGGAGAGTTCGGGCAGGACGAAAGGTCTTTCGACAGCTGATCGGACGGTAGGTGAAGGTTTGTGGGGCTGCCTCGTGTGCTGACCGGCTTACCTGGAAGCAACGGCGTGGATCTGCGGTTCCTCACACGTGGCGGTATGTGAGATGGGGTGTGCGAAGCTTCGTCCTCTGAAATCATTATAGGCGCGTGTGGTTGGAGAGTTAGAGGGTGGAATTGGGATTAGTAATGCGGTAGGACTTATTAATAAAAAAATTTACCCATAAGTCTTAGTTTCTGAAAAGTTAAACTATTTAGTCTTAAAAATTTTCTTATGCTCCATTTAGTCTCATTTGCACATCAATCTAATGTTTGAAACATTAATCTGATGTTCGAAATCTAATATTCGAAACATTAATATGATAATCTGATATTCAAAATCTAATGTTCGAAACATTAATCTGATGTTTGAAACATTGTAATGGGACCTTTCAGTCTATAAGAAAACTTTTAGGACTAAACAGTGTATAAGTTATTAATTTGGGATTTATTAGTGCATCTCCCTTATTAATATTATGTTTATTTTAAGAGACGGGGGGAGAAGATTGATAGTGAGTTCCGGATTATAAATTCCCTTAGAAATTAGATTCAAATGGGCCTCTAAGATTTGGTATTAGAAAAATAATCTATCGGATTAGAAATTTTTTATTTTTATTTTATTTTTTACATGTTGGGCATTTTTTTTTGAGCATTAATGTTTAATTTTTTATATTTTTTGTTAAGTAAAAATCATTACTCCCTTCGTCACAAAATATTAGTCTCTTATTATATTTTTCATTGTCTCAAAATATTAGTCCCTTTTCAAAAATCACGTACAAAAATAATATAAATTTCTTATTTTCCCCTTCTTTTAAATTCATTAATAACATAAAAAATACAATTATGAGATTGATATTCCCTAAAAAAATGTACTATCAAAGGGTAAATTTCGGAAATCAATTTTTTTAAAGTGTAATAATTGTACTATCAAAAAAAATTAGATTTCCCAAAAGGGACATTAGTTTTGGATGGAGAGAGTATTTTATTTGTTTTTTTTTTTTGGAAATTTTTTATTTTTTTTTTATTTTTTTAAATTTTTTTGCAAGTTGAGCATTTTTTTTAAAACATTAATGTTTAATGTTTTTGTATTTTTTTATTTGTTTTATTATTTTATATAAAAATAATTTAACAATCCCTAGACTAACAACTATCATAAAAACAAACACAATTTTACTTAATCCCTTCACTATTAATCACACCACTAATAATCTCTCCACTATTAATCCACTCACTATGAATCTCCTACAATTTACCTCTGAAAACAAACGGGACCATAGAGTAATGTTAGAGACCATAAATATTTTACCAAAAATTTTATCAAATGTCTCACATGGATGTGAGATCCACACAATGTGGTTCTCCCATGTGAGTCTCACACCCATGTTAAACATTTGGTAAAATTTTTGGTAGAATTTTTGGAGCCTCTGGCATTTGTAATTGTTATATTAGGCTCTTTGGGAAGAATTAAAAAAGTTAGAAGTCAATTTTTAACTAATTTTTGATCATATTATTTCTTATATTTTTTAGATATTTTTTAGAAAAAAAAAATAAGAAAAATAAGTTTTGAACTATCTTTCCAAAATAGGATCAGATTCTTATTTTTAAGTGCATCTCTAATGGTTATTTTTTATATATATTAAATTTGAGTAAAAATTTCATTTAATATCAAGTGTTTTAACGGAGGTTTTTAAATTTTATCGGTCGATCGGCCGGATGACTAGGCAGATGTCTTGCTAGTTGATAGGCCAGTATATTTTTTCCATAAGTTTTTATCACAAGGTGGTCATCTAGGAGACATTAAGTAGTGAAAATTTAATGGTTACGAACAGTGATTTGATGAAAATCATCTTCAATTTAATGAAAGATTTGAAAATTCCTAGATTTGATAAAAGATTTGGTGTTGGGTTGAATTAAACAAAAGTAAATTTTTTCATCAAATTTAAATATGATGAAACATTTAGTCAATTGTTAGAGATGGTCCAACATAATCATATTAATTTTTTTAAAATTAAATTGATTGAAATTAATATAGATGAAATGGTGGATAGATACTAAATAAATAAAGATAAATATATTTTATTAGAAATAAATGATGACATCTATTTTTATGGATTCATCTATCGAATTTATGTAAATTAAAATATTAAAAGAGATTAGTATAGAAATGTAAGATTAATTATATTTTTTATATTTCAAAGAAAGTGAGTGTAATTTACCTTAAAATATTTGACTTACTAGGAATTTGCTTAGTTTGAATGAAACTCGACAAGTATTTAAGAAATTCAAATTTGATTCAAGTCAATTCGATTATCCGAATAAGCAAAACTTTAAAGTGAAGATTGGTGATTTTTCTTGGCTTGTAATCGATTTTTGGCAGATTTGTTTTTTTTTCGTTTTGTTATAGTTTGTATGGGTTCTTTGGGGCAATGTTTTGAAAATCGGATTGGTAAGTAAATTGGAAAAGTGACCGGCACTACAAGAAAATATAGCAAAAACCACGGATTTTTAGCGACGCCGCGCCTCCCGTCGCAAAAAAAAGGTTTTTTTGCGACGGTAACTGCACCTGTCGCAAATAATACCCTTTAGCGACGGTACAGGTATGCTTTTGATACTCAAGCTTGTGAGTTTAGTACTTGACTATCTTTGAGAGATATACTGACTTGATCGTCGGAGTGCCCCCGGGTGGTCGAAACCACCGCGGGATTCTTATATTTCTGTTGCAGCTCCGTCAGGTGCCATCTATTCTGCCAGTGCTCTCCAGCTGGTTACTAAGCGGGCAGTGTGGTCGGAAAATCACCCACACATATACTTATTACATTATCAACAAGTTTAGGGTTAATGGTTAGAGTGTTTGCTTTTTATGCACTTGCTTTAGGGTTTTATTTTTGTACGTTGTTGGTTTTTAATATAAATGTTTGAAAAAATTAGTCTAAAGTCCCTATTTCATTTTTAATACTAAGAAAAGAAATTTACAATATTATTTTACGATGTCCAAAATCCCTCAACCCAACACCCATATATTACAAAGAAATTTGACATAGCAGAGAGTTTCTCTCCCCCTGCGTCTCTCTCTCTTTACAACACTTTCTCTCTCACTCTCTGTGCACAAACTATGTTGATCCTCTCTTCCTCGCATCAAAGATGCGTCTTCTCTATCACAACTTCTTCGTCATCTTCAATCTCCTCGTCTTCCAAGCTCAGCTTGATCTCTTGCTCGTTGCCTCTTCGATCAAGCATTTGCAAGTTTCTGTGCTTCGTGGTTTGCTGCTCTTTGAAGGCTAGAGGAATGGTGGAGAAGGTGCAGGAGAAGAAGTCTGCGGTGGCCGTCGCCACCTCCAGCTCCACGGCGGACCTCGGCCTTCATCGTCGATTCGCAAGGTGATGGAATTTGATCTCAATGTCCTGCCACCATTGGATAAGGCTGGTGAAGATGATCTAGACCTTCGTCTCTGATGATGATAATGATTGACAGGTTCAATACACATTTATATAGGGTCTTGGCCTCTAGTGCAGACAGGTTAATTCTTATTCATTGAGGGGCAATTGCCACCATAGATAGAAGGAGCACAATCGATGGGAGACGAACACGAGTCTAGAAGCTGTGTTGTTATTGGAAATAAGTTCAATTACCCAGAAGCAAATGAAATTTACATATCCATATATATATATATATATATATATTTTGAGAGAGAGAGAGAGAGAGAGAAACCTAGCAATTTCCAATGGAGCAAGCAGTAGAAGTAATGGAGAAAACCAAAAAAAGAAGAGAATGAAAGAGGTACCAATTTGCTGCTTATACGGTTCTTTGCAATTTCTAGCGACAGAATTATTTAGGGGAACTAATTCTTGTTTAATGAAATCACAGAATCTTTTCATATTCCTGTTGAATTCTATACATGTTTCAGATGTGTGTCTGTTGCTTTGCTTGTACACTGTATTTTGGAGTACTTTAAAACATTGTATTATGAAGCTTTTCTTGTTTTCCTAAAAACATGCTATTATTTATTTTTCCATTTATGTAGATGATCATTACGTTGATCTAGATTTTTTTTTTTTTTTTAATCTGTCAAGGGATTTCACTTCCTCCTGGTTCCAAGATTGAATTTTACATAGTGGTTACGAGAGCAAAAAGAGTAATAATGAAGGACGTGGATTTTCTTTATCAAAGGTTCTTTGGTTGTATTAGGAGTTATATTATTCTGGCAAATTGATTCATGTTTTGTTTTTTCTTTTTCTTTTTCTTTTTCCTTTTCTGAAGTAAACTTAGAATTTCTCTCTCATGTGTTTGCAAACAGAAAAACAATTATGGGCCTGTAGAATCAACATGGTTACTGCATATGCACATAGAGAAAAGGCACTCAAAAATCTCACCTTGTCCTTATGTAGAAAGAAAGAGAGAGGGAGAGAGAAAAGTTTGTCATTACAATTCAAAGAAAATTATAATGATCATAAATTTTTTTGGACTTTTATATTGTGCTTTTTATGTGTTTTTATATTGAACAAGTTATTTTTTATCTATTTTTCTTGGCAACCAAACAAACTTTATGCTTTATGGTTCACTTGAAATTCAGAGAAAATTCAGAAAAAATCTAAAGAAAATCTTTAGACTAGAATATAAAGAATTTCTCTAGCATTCCCGTAATTTCTTTGGAGAGAAATTCTCTACCATGTTTAATTTTATTTGCCATGTGTAATTTTCTCTGAACTGTGTGAATGTTCTCTAGATGTGGGAATTTTCTCTGAGCTATGTGAATTTTCTCTAGATGTGGATGTGTGAATTCTCTAGACTGTGTGAATTTTCTTTGGATGTATGAATTTTCTCTGTGCTGACTTGCACTTCATAGTTTTCACACCTATGTTGACAGGTAACAAAAATACCCAGCAAAGAAAACCTAAAAGCTAAGAAGGTGTCAAATAGAAACCCATATTCATGTTTGTTCTTCTATATGCATATATATCCAAAAATTTAAGCCCTATATTTTTGTTAATATAATACAAAAACATTTAACGATTCACTTACCAGTTCAGTTTGTCAAAGTATAAATATTTACATCTATACATACAATCAATGAAAAACCAAAACAAAAAATTACAGGTTGTGTGTATTTTGGATTGAAGTAGAAGTACTCACCCATGACGTGATTTGAAAAAGTAGATAGAATTTCTCACTTTTTGTAATTTTGTGAATTTTTTCTGGCATTCTTTTGCCGACAGTCAATCAACGACCAAACGGGCGACAAAGAATTTTAGTCGGGAAAAATATTTGGCGACCAAAAAATGACTTTTGGCGACTAAAAATTTAGTCGCCAAAAGTGTAATTTGTTGTAGTGAGTGAGAAGTCATTTCTCTAGAGAGAATTTTTTTAGATCGAATTTTCTCTAGATTGATGTTGAGAGACCTTAGACATTATAAAAATATTGAATGTCCTTTAAGGTATAAAATCTTAATACTAAGGACCCTAAAAAAATCGCCTAAATGTTTTCCATGTTTTCAAAAAAAAAAAGGAGAAAAATTAAATTAATATTTACATTAAGAAATACCAAAAATGGTCATACTAATAATAAATAGAAAAATAAAATCAATTAATAAAAATATTTGATATATTACAAAAATAAATATTAATTTATATGTAACTGTGTTCACAAGTTTATCGAGTTGAACTTGAACTAGTTCAGTTAGCAAATAAATTGAGCTCAAACAAGTTAAACTTGAACTATTTATGAATAACTCAATTCATTTGCAATCCTACATATGGTAAGTTAGACTCACTTAATAATTTCTTGTGATTTGGGTCAAATGTTTATGACTTTAGACCATCTCCAACGGTTAAGCAAAATCATTACCAAATTTGAATTTGGTGAAAAAATGCAACTTTTTTGGCTCCATCGATTTCATCAAAATGATATCAAAATGAGAACCGCCCAAAAATTCCACCAAACTGAGGAGTTGGGCAAATTTCACCAAAATACTGTGTATTTATGTTGGAGGTGGGTCCCACCGAATAACCGGCCGGACGTCCCACCAGTTGTCCCACAGGTCGTCCCACTGGTCGTCCATTGCATACAAAAAATGCGAAACTGTTGTGCAGTGCTTCAGTGTTTGGTGGAGATATTGAGTATTGATCATAGATGGAACCAACAAGGGCTTGGTGGGCACAATGTGGCGTTTAGTTGCAGGAATTTGCATCCGGGTCCAATTAGTCTTTTGCAATGGAGTGGAAAAGGGAAGCCATGGGTGAGTCTCGATGTCGAATCTCCATGCGCAGTTGATCATCTACGGGCACCTTATGATCCCCATAGAACCCATTCCCAACATCATGAATGGTTGTAAAAAAGGTTAACGAAGACGATTGATATTTTTTCATCTACCTCAATACAAAGGATTTATTTGTATATATACACAGATTACAAACTGAGTTATATAGTATTTGTGGCCTCTAAACATATATATATATATATATTTTTTGTTATGATTCTCATGAGAACAAATACAATGTAATTTATTTGATTATTATTGTCTTTAATTCTCTGTGATTTTAGGAATGCTATTTTTTTTTTTTTTTTTTTTTACAAAAACGTATTGGACAAAGAAGAGGAATGTATTGAGGAATTTAATTTCTAATGTATGGCTTGACGCAGCTGTGCAATCAACCTCTTCTTTGGTATATGGTACATAGATTAATGTGTTTATATCAGTTCTTGGAAGGAAATCATTATTGGAGGCAACAAAAAATGGAAAAATATATAATGGAGGGAAAAAGAAATGGGAAACAGAAATAGAGGGGAAAAAAATTCAGTTCCTTAACCGGTTGACCGACCGGTCGTCTCACCGAACGTCCCCAGTCTTCTGATGCAAGCTATAGTACAACCGTTAGAACATCTTGTATCAGATTCAGGAAATCGCCATTTTTTTCTCAGATCTGATGAAAAAAATGGTTCACCGTTGAAGATACACTTAAGAATTATAAAATGATGTGGGATCCAATTGAAGGAAAGAAGGTAACATGAACAACCAGAATAGAAAAGTTCATTTAGAACTGATCTAATTTCAAAACCAACTGTTCAAGTACTTATTTTAGTGTATCTTTTTCGGAAAAAAATTAATGATACATCTTTGAGTATATGTCTATAAGAGTTGAGATCCTATTAAAAATGTTTGGTAACTGAGCTCTTTGTATTTTTATATTTTAGAAGTGTAGATCCAGCTTCAATGTTTCTTTATTTTTTTATGTTCGATATGCCCTTTTATGCACAAAAATTGAACTAAAGCCTCGTTTGGGAATATATTTTTTTAGTAATTTTTTGGCTAAAATGTGATGTAAAAAAAAAATTAATATGTTTGGAATAACTTTTTAACTTATTACAAAAAGATGTGCACAAAGTAAAGAGAAAATAAAATCTTTGTCTTTTTGGTATGGTTTGTTGGCTTTTTAATTTTTTTAATAACTTTTTGACTTTTTAATTAAAAGGGACACTTACCAAACAGGACCTAAGGAAAAGTAGAATGAGGCAAGTCCAAAATCACCAAACCAAGGTATCCGACATTCCTCTGTTTGCCACACTCGTCACCAAGGCCCTCAAAGAGCCCAAGCTTGACCGCAAGAAGACGGAGAACATTAACCCTTTATTTGAGTAAAGTTAATTTGTCTGATTTTTTTTTTACTTTTTAACTAATTTAGGCCTTGTTTGGCAATTTTTACTTTTATTTAAAAAGTCAAAAAGTCACTATAAGTTGTCGCATTATTTTTTTTACTTTTCTACACATCATTTTGTAAAAAACCAAAAAATTATTAAAATAACTTGTTCCCAAACGAGGCCTTAGTCTGGTTAAAAAAATTCAATATGAAATAAATTTTTAACTTTTTTTTATTTAGATGTGATGGTTGTGAGAAAAAAAAAATTATTATAATTTGAATGTAACATTTTATTTTACTAATTAAATTAGCTAATTTTATCTTTTAATAGACTAATTTAGCTCCAATCAACTTTCCAAACAATCCCTAAATACACCGATAACATCTCCGTGACATGATCAAGATCATGAAGGTTAAATATCAAATCGAAATCATTATGGAAATCAATTGGGCTTGCATTTTTGTTGGGTATATTATCGAATGCAAGAACCCTAAGGATCTCGGAGGTTGACATCGAGGTCCTCAATATGTTATGTGTCACATTGGTGGGTTCAAGATGGTGAATTTTTATTTTTTTTTTATGTATATTCTTTTTTTCTTTTTTTGAGCTTGAAACACGTAGTAGTTCAAACATCCAATTTGTAGATTTTTTTTTTTCTAAGCAATGCAAATTTGTCATTTTGGAGTCTTCAATTGACAAAAATAAACAAACTAAATAATTATTAAACTTTGGCATTGTTTGTTTTGTAGCAGTTTTCATATAACTTTTTTTAATTTGAAAATCTGTGTCAGATTATTTGGTATAATTTCTGTTTATAAATTATTATGCAAAAGTAACATAAATAAATTTTAAAAAATAATTATGTAGAAATTATAGAATATGTGCTTTTAATTTATAATTTCTTATTACAAACTTCTAGCTTAAAAAAAGTTATATCAAACCGAGGGCCTTTGCTAGTTTGGATGACCTTTTAATAGGATTTGGGGTCACTGCTGTGATAAATACACAGCAGTGACTGTTGTGGTTCATTTTGTGATGCATTATGGGATTATTTTTATGATCTGAACCGTTCATTTTGTACGATTTGTTAAGTACTTCAAGCCTACCAAAAATCATATTAATTGGATATCAACAACTATATGATCGAATTGCATATTTTTATACTATTTTTTAAAAGAAAAACTTCTTGTTTGTTTTTTTGGTTATCAATCATATAGTTATTGGTATCCGATTAATATGATTTTTGGTAGGCTTGAAGTACTCAACAAACCTTACAAAATGAACGGTTCAGATCATAAAAATAATCCCATAATGCACCACAAAATGAACCACAACAGTCACTGCTGTGTATTTACCACAACAGTGACCCCAAATCCCTTTGGATTTTTTTAATAGTCCTACACCTACCTGAATCAAGTAAAATTTATTTATTTCGTTATTTTATTTTATTCCGAGAGGGTGGAGAACAAACATGTAAATAAAAAAGTAACTCAAAATGATTTTTTTTTAATGAAAAACTTTGTAAACTTTTCTTTTAATGTATCGAAAGTTTTCAAAGTTCGATTGGAAAGTGGATTGGTTTTTTGATTTTTTGGTTATTTTAGCTTGGGGCTAAAAAATCTCGTTTGAAATAGGCTTTTTGACTTTTTTAACTTTTGTGAGAGAAAAAATAAAATGATTATGAATTGGATACGATGTTTCGTTTTATTAGGTTAAAAAGTCTATTTTGTTTTTTTATGAATAAAATAGCCCCAAACAAGTGCTCACTAATATAAAGATATTTTTCTAAATTCCATTGAAATAAAATTTCCTTTAGATTATAGGAAACATTACAAGACAATGTGGGAAATAGGAAATTTATTTACCTAAAGGGGTGTGCGATTTTTGTTATGATTTTTTTTGCACATGTTTGTAATTATTTTTTATTTTTTCTTACTTATTTGTAATTTTTCCTACATTATAAACCATGAAATAATACATAATCACATTTAATTATATATAAAATAGTAGTGACTTGTGTAAAAACAAATTATTTATTATAAATATTTTTTTATTTCGTGCATAATACAAGTACACTGCTTCGTGTAACCACCAACATAAAGGAAAAAAAAAATTCTTAATTCAAGTATTACATAACAAATAACAAGTTTCTGACGAATGATTGCCTATCTCAAAATCCTTGTCAAGTCCCAATACACTACTACACAAAGATGATGTGATAAAAAAAAAAATACATAAATCTTGATCGAGACACAATCATACAACTAAGAATGCATTGAAATAATGATTTTAGAGACAGAAAATTGCATACCTAAGTTTACAAATACCAAATAAATAAGAAAGGATGCCGGAATTATGTGGCTTATTCATGTTTGTGTCCTAGGAGAGTACTTCAGAGCATACAAAACACAGAGGGGTCACAGCAACACTCGTCTAGGAGGCAACAACAACACAAAGCTGCAAGGCTGCAATTTACACAATAAACTCAAAATTAGTATTTTGATGAAGAAAAAATTCAACATCTATATTATGTCTGGCCTTTCTCTTTTATTTAGTAACCATAGATACATACATATATATATATATATATAGGAGACTTACGTGTAGATCTTAATAAGTGGACTTATTATTTAATAGGTTCTATAATAATTAATAACATTTTTCATTAAACACTATTAGAAAAGGTCACTAATTGTTAATTTTCAGCGGCAATATAAAAATTTTGTTACAAAAAAATATAACTAGTTATAAGTTTTAGCGACAGTTTAAAAAAGTGTCACTAATTCACAACTTTTAGCGACAATTTAAAAAATTCGTCACAGAAAAATGTCACTAATTGTAAGTTTTGACGACAATTTATGACAAAAAAAGTCATTAATTATTAATTTTTAGCGACATATGTAAAAAATTGTCACAAAAAATTTGTTTTTATTTACGATTTTACCAAGACTTATTTTCAATAAAACTTGACAGAAATTAAGTCTAACTATTAAGACTTATTGGTAGTTTACCTATATATATATATATATGTAGAGAGAGAGAGAGACAGAGAGAGAGAAGTGTACACCACATACCATCCCTGAAGGAAACTAGTTTCACTCCTTGGTGGTGGTGGAGGTGGAGCAGCATACTGAGGTGGTGCCATCACTGGGGGACCTTGATAATAACCTTCACCACCACAAATCATTTCAATCACCAATATTAGGACAACAAAATATTGAAAACATGAATCATATTACTAGTACTATTACTACCGATTGATATATCCAAATGAAAAAAAAAAAAATGTGCAATGATTAAATTGTTCAATTTAAAATCATAGAGATCAAAGTGAAATTTGAGTTAAAGCACAAGTGTTAAAAGTGTAATTAATCCAAAAAAAAAAAATACTTGTATTAACTCTTCATGATTAGTCACATAAGAGGAGGAGAGGGAGGGAGGTACCTTGGGCAGGGTAAGGGTAAGCATATTTGGGGTCATTCATCTCTGCAGCAACAACAACAACAACAACCCAAAACAAAAATGAAGAAGAAGAGGAAGAAGAAGAGGAGCTCAGAAACAGAGAATTTATTGATTGGAAGATTTTGGGAATTGTAGATAAGAAGCAAAGAATGTGGTAGTCTTTATAAGGCACATCAAAGTTTGGGAATATTGGGTGGAGGAGCAATAAAGAAACCTCAAGAATAAAGGTAATCAAGCTTAAAACAAAAAGGAATGTCCATGTTCACGACACGCTTAATTGATCACAATGAGATAGTATCTTTTACTACATGCCTTATTATGGATCAAATTTCGATAATTCAAACCGTTCAATATGTAAAACTCATCGAATACTTTATCTTTATAAAAAATCATTTTGATTGGATATCGATTACTACTTAATCAGAATATATTTTTATCAATGGTAAATATGATTTTAAAAATAAATTGTTGACAAAAATTGTTCTGATCAAGTGGTTATTAATATCCGATTAACGTAATTTTTTATAAGAATAAAATATTTGACGAATTTTGCATATTGAACGATTTGGATCAATTATGATGGCCCTACAAGTCCAAACAGTACGGTGAGACAATTTGTATCCCCTTGGCATAATTCATCTGGTTTGGTTCAATTTTATTTTATTTTCTTTTCTTTTTGTATAAATTAATTTGAATGACAAACAAATATTTTCAAAATGATAAAAATTATTTTGGCTCAAAAAGAGAGAAACGTTAATATTGAAGTGGTGATTGTTTATCATTTTTTTTAAAAAAATTATTTATTTATTAACAACTCAACCAAAAAGAGGATCTTCTCTCTCCTATCTGCAAGCATATTAATTAATGGTGTTTTGAGAAGTTAATAAAAAAAATTTAACTTTTTAATTTTTTTAATGACTTTTTTAACAAAAAAAAAAATTGAGTTATTTTAGGTAAAAAAACTGATTTTTTTAATTAAAAAATTGACTTTTTCAGTGTGTTGCAAAAGACCCCTTGATGAAACCAACTTTTCGTTGATTTGTAGACTGATCGATTACATCAGCAGTCTAAACAGGCTCACAACTTACAAGAAGTGACTGAAGCCTGAGGGAATATATTTTAGGGTAAGGTTAAAATATAAATTATTTTTTGTGATTTAAAAAATTATAAATATACACTTATTAAAAAATTTTATTTAATAAAATTAATTAAAAAAATATAATTCATAATTACCCTCTTATACAATAAAATTACCTAAATTATTAATTAAAATATATTTTTAACATCACTAAAATTTGTTAATTGACTTGATGATTTATTAATAAAATGAGCGATTTGTTATGAATTAAAAACCTCAGAAGGGGTGAAATGTAATTTTCAAAACTACAGGGGGCGATTCGTATTTTAATCAAATCTCAAGAGATGTATTTATAATTTACCCTATATTTTACACTGGCTTATTTTAAAAAGTAGATTAAAAGTTTATTTTTTTTTTTTAAAAAAAAGAGATAATCACTTTGCTTGGTTTCCAATTTTTTAAAAACAGTTTTTAGAAAATTCTACACTCTTATTTTTTGTATTTTTTGTTTTTACTGAATTTTTTTAATATTTTATGCAAATTTTTTATTTTTTAGACACACCTAACATAAATACACCTAAAAAGTAAAAAAATTATAAAAAAAAAATCTTTTAAAAATTTATTAAATACCAAAAATACAAGAATTTAGTACATTTTTTGTATTTTTATGTATTTCTTAATTTTTTAAAAATATTTTTTCACAATTTTTTTACTTTTTAGACACATCTAAGTAAGGTGCATCTAAAAAAATAAAAAAAATGTTTAAAATTTTAAAAATATTCACTAAAAACAAAAAAATACGAAAATAAAAAAACTCAATTTTCAAAAAATTTAATCCAGAAAACTCAAACCAAACACAGTGAATGTGATTCAAAAAATTAAAGCTTTGTTTGGCAAAAGAAGTTGGGATTAAAAAAGTACAAAAAATAAGTCAATAAGATAAAATATTACATTCAAATCATAATCATTTCATTTTTTCTCTTACAAAATCTAAAAAAATCAAAAAAACTAACCCAAATGAACTTTTTAATCTTAAACTAAAAAAAATTCAACTCAAAAAAGTCAACTAAAAAAACTCTACCCAAACGACAACTAAATTAACTTTTAACCTACTTGCCAAAAGTGGCCAATATGGTTGAATGGAATTTATTTTTTTATTTTCATGTATTAAAGCGATCAGTTTTTTTTTTCTATTTAAGTTTTTGAATATTAGTTCAATTTATTTATGAAAATAAAAAATCTAATTTCGTTACATCACCGTTGTTCACTGAAGTTTTACTCGTCAACTTGTATTCATTACACTTTAGATTGAACTCAAATTTTATGTGAAATCACTGCTATTTTTTTTTTCCATCGTAAATGTATAAAATAAATTTAAACTACACATTAATACTTTTAGATAAAAATTACAAATTTATAATATTATTAATTTTTTTCTTTTGATTAGACAATGCACACAAAAGTATAACTTTTTACACATGTGTGAAACCAAAAACTAAAAATTCCTTTTTCCCCTTTTGAAATAAAAAAGGAAGCTTAATTCCATAAGTAAAGATAGAGATGCCTTCAACAATGGTGGCATCTAATGGTGTTTGGAAACTTGGGTTTGAGATTTTTTTTTTATTTTTTTCACTAAAAGACAAATTTTTTACAAAATCAAAAAATATATATTCAAATAAAATATCACATCTAATCCCATAATCATTTTATTTTTTCTCTCACAAACATCACATCCAACCACAAAAAATATAACTATCTTCCCAAACACCAAAAATTTTCTATCCAATAATATCCTACAACTAAAAAAATCTACATAAAAACTCACTTCCCAAACATTCACATTTTTTTTTTTCTTTTAAAATAAAGCAACACGCTTATCCTGTCATAGCCCACACGCAAGAACTATTCTGGTTGCTACACACAGGAATGGCAACCGACCAAGCACCAAGTTTGTGGTATCTCATTCCTGTGTTTATTTTTATCTTATTTTTTGTCGGATTGCAAATCGGGAATGAACAAATTCAAGAAAATAGTGAGGACGAGATGAAAGTGGAAAATATCATAATATATACTTTGTGATTCGTAAGAGGGTTTATGGGTGCCGACAAAAATTGATCAATAATGAGAATTTTTTTAGAGGGATGGACTTAATAAGAGAATACATTAATTGATATATTAATTAATGTGTCAATATATCTTATATTATTATTACTAATCTCACTCATTATATAAATTATAAATGCTTAAAATCTCTAAAATTATGTAATATTATCTGTTAGTAAACTAATTAATATACCAATTGATGCATATATGTATAATACAAGAAAGGACAAAAGTTTTAAAAAAAATTAAATTGATAGATCTAATCAATTAAATTATACAAAAATAAGCACTCAAAAGTTATTTAATTAACATAATTAGTGTTTGGAAGAGGGAAAACAAGACAAGAATGACTACCATGCAAAAAACACAGCAATCATCTTAATTTCATAAAATAAAATAAAAAAATCTCATTTTGATATTTATGGGTTGTTTGAGATGTTCTAAATAAATATACTTTTTGATTTTTTATAAAATATGAATTGGGTTTGAAGTGATGCAGTAGAGAAGTAATGTGGCTCAAATAAAATAATGTGACTTAAGCCTCCGTTTGGGAAGTGGGTTGGCTTTTTGGCTTTTTTGACTATATGAGCCTTGGCTCAAAAGCTTAGTTTGGGAAGTGCTTTTGGTTTTTTGGCTTTTTTGATTTTTTTGTAAGAGAAGAGTGTAATGATTATGGAGTTGGATGGGATGTTTTGTCTGTTGTGGCTCATGAGCCTATTCTGTCTTTTATGGCTCATTGAGCCAAAAAAGCCCAATGAGCCCTTGCCAAGCCAACCCTAAATAGGATAGTGACTTTTTTTTTTTTTTTTAGAGAATGTCAAACTTAACCTTAATTTAAAGTGTTACAGAATTTTATTCTACTATTGAACCTTTACAATCTCACAATCAAAATCAAAATCTTGAAAATGCTATAAAATAATTCGCTTTGCCTTTTTATCATGTGCGCAGAGGATGAGAATAATATATGATGGGAGATTGAGATTTGACTTTGGATGTAATATGTGTTCACACAAAGAAGTAATTTGTCATAATTTCGTCATGCTACTATACAATTTTTTTTACGTGTATTATATTATTATATATAAATTATGATGTTTGTTATATTAATTATTACAAATATTATAATTAAATTCTTTTTAATTATAATTAAAAATAAAAATGAGTCATAATCAAATAACATGTACTATAATTAAAGCTTTTTTCAATAATAATCAAAATAATAAATCTCAAATGAGTCATAATCCAACATAGCTAATATCACAATAAATTATAAATGTCATAAGTGAAATACATAATAATACATATCACAAAATATGGTAATGCTACACGCACTAATTGATATACCAATTAGTGTACCAACATATATTATGACATTATTATTTCAAAATTATGACCTCACCCATTATACAAATTATAAATACTCAAAACCTCTAAAACTATATCGCGTCATTTATTAGTGCATTAATTGATATATCAATTGTTACATATAGTATTATTCTACAAAATAAGATATTATAGAATTTTCTTATCCTAATAGTTTTAAGAATCACATAATTGATGCAAAGAAAAAGACCTATCACATAATCATTAATGGAGTACTTGTCAGTAAGTTTCATACACAAAATTTAAAATTTATTTAGTTTCAAAATAAAACATTTGCATCAATTAGTTTTACATATTTTTAATTGTTACCCAATATTTTTTTTTTTAAATTTAAAAACGCTATTACATCCCACCACTGCCAAACTTCCATCAAGTGGTAATCGGAGACTTGCCGGAATGTTCAATATCACTAGAAAGTCACCAGGTGTTGCCGGAAGTTCACCAGAATATTGCCGGAATGTTCTGAACGTCACTGGAAGTTGCCAAAATGTCTAGAATATTGCCAAAAAAATAAAAGAATAAATGGAGAAATTAAAGTTAAAAAAAAAAAAACAAAATATGCTAAATATTGATAAACTAAAAAA